CTACTTAATCACTTCCCCTTCATACCTTGTGAACTTTGAGAGCACTGAGCCTAAGTTCCCGTTTCAAAGCGCACATACCAAATATTAAAGTTTTTCAAGCTTTTCATCAGCAGTTTCTTACGGAAAATAATTGAAGTGATCATTGCTCTTTCTTCTTTCTCTCCGCTCAAGACATCTCCTAGCTTCTAATGAGACTGATTCGCATCGGTCAAAGGTTGCTCATAAATGTGTCAACGTGTACTTCCTTTCCTCGTTTTTCTTTAGTATTCCCAATAATTATTTGTTCTGAGTTGTAAGCAGAATCCGATATTTTTTAGCACTAATACATTTTAAAGTGAACGTTCTTTCCTATATTTTCTTCCTCCCATGCAAATCCAAAACAGCTTATTCTACTACAACGCACGCTGAGGATAAAAAGGTTTTACACAGTGTTTGTCACTGAACTGCCGCATTACGCGTAAGTGAAGGATTTAGATAAATAGAACTAGAGAACTGTTTACAAAAAGCAAACAAATCCAAGTAGCTGTCTCCTAGGTTTTGGTGCCAGTTTAGCTGCTTAATGTGAAGCACTTTCACTCCCTCTGCACGGCCACGACTTCAACTATGTGCTCTTAAAGCGCTTATATAGCGCATTCCCAATTCTATCGTAGAATTCTTTTTCTGGAGTTCTCAGTGAGCACATTTGGTTCCGTATAAAATGCTTTCTAGGAATTTTTGTGCTGATATCGACTGAGTAAAACTATCCAATAACTGTAAATATCGCCATTCTTGTAGATGCTTTGCTTCTTGCGTGTGTCAAAATATTTATTTAGGTAGGACTTCATGTACTTCATAATATTAGTGTTCCTTGTAGCCAAAGTAGCTGCCCACCCTGTCCAACCCGTTCCATCCAGTGGTAAAGGCTTTTGTTTGTTGAAAATATAGAGAACATATAAGTCAATTTCAGATGACGTGTTACTGCCATTTGCTATAATTGGGGACCTAGATAAACAGGCAAAGGCTGGTAATGTCTGGTACAGCCCCATGTCCATAGGGACCTTGGCTTTGAACGGAGTAAGAATAAACACTTTCTAGAGTTCCACTTCATTAAACCCGTTTGAGCAGAAGTTGCAATAGAAGAGGATAATTCTTTTGCTCTCAAACTTTATTTTTCGAAGTGCAGAATATGCCATAACTTTGTTTATGCCCTAACTTGATAATTGTGAAAAGCGTCAATTTTTTTAAAGTTGTAACAGTAAAAGAAGCGCCAGTTCAATCAATTCAGTTTA